GGTCCCCACAAATATGAATACACTATCTCTAAAGGAACTTTGGCCCGAGAATCTGAAATAGGAAATGTACATTGCTGCAATTTACCATATTGACATGCTTCACAAAAAAAATCTTTATTTCCAGCCAAGGATTGTTTTACATTCATCTTATTCAAAACAATATGAAGTGTCTTCACATTTGCATGACCTAGTCTTGCATGCCATAACATGAACATATCTGCATTACTAGTCTTATTTACAGTTCTAGGAACATGATGAACACTAGGAGAATCAACAGTTGCAGTTTTATTGACTGAAGAAGTGGATGACAATAATGCAGTAGGTAAGCAGGAGGAAGTATCCAAGGATGAACCACCAGCTTGCGTGAACTCAAGTTGATACAGTCCATTCTTGATTCTGCCTTGAGTAGGATAGCTCTACTGTGTTTTTCCTTTACCAAACAACAATCAGAGTGAAACTCCACAATCACACCATTATCCTTAGTAATTTGAGAAATACTAAGTAGATTTTTCGCAATTTTGGGCACACACAACACATCCTTAAAATGAATCAATCTATTTGCATCATATGAATGTATTAACATCATACCTGGGTGAGTAATTGGAACAGATTCCCCATTACCAACCTGCACTTTAGAGTCTCCTCCATGGATAGATTTGAGCATCAAATTTGAACCATCAGCTGTCATATGGCTTGAGGCACCAGAATCCATATACCAAGCCTTATCTTGAAGAGTTTGAGGTGTAGCAGTGGTTTGATAGGATGTTGGTGATGTAAGAGGGGCAGTATCCATAGTTGTTGACATATGAATACTATAAGGATTTGCAGGAGAATTGTGCTGAAAACCAGATCCAGAATTGTGTTGAAAACCAGGACCAGAGGAAGCCTTGGGCATCGCAGGAACTGAGTAGTCATGAAATCCTCCAAGGCAATTGGTTGAAACCAAGGTATTAGTATTGTATGGTGTGAAATGGTTAGCAAATAAGGCCTGAACAGGATCTCCAGATCCTTCAGCTGGAGTATTTGAGGAAGGAGCTTGTGAAGTGTAGACATTAGCATTGACCTATGTTTGAGGATTGTAGGGAGCAAAGCCCTGATACTCTTGATCAAATCTATGATAGCATTGTATGGCTGAGTGTCCTGGTTTGCCACACACTTGGCAAATCAACCTTGGTTTAAAGTAACCCCAGCCTCTACCTCTGCCTCTAACCATGTTGTTGCTAAATTGAAAACCTCCAGAGGTAAAGGGCTGATTATTATGTAGATAACCAGGTCTGTTAAAAGTTGTTCCTTGGTTGTTATTGTTCTCAAGATCAACATTGCCAACATTACCAACTGCAGCATGAATAAAACCAGGAGTAGGAATACCAGAGTTCATGCTATTCTGATAGCCATAGTTGAGAGCAGAACCTGGAGGATTTTGTACTGTTACATTGTGAATAGGTGCACTATTTAGTGGATAAGTAGCAGATGAGTTGCCATTTCCTTGTTTTGATGCAAAAAGAGCTGAGTTAAAATGCTCATGAAGGGTTGCCATAGCATAATGTTGTCGTTCTAACCTCATTTCATGCTTGTGAAACATGAACTGAGCCTCTTGAATACTAGCAGTGCTACTATTATAAGTTAGGCTTGCCACTACTGTATCATACTCTGGTCCAAGACCGTCCAGAATATACAACAAAAGCTCCTCATCACTAAGATTAACACCATTATCAACTAATTCATCCCCTAATTCTTTCATCTTAAGCACATACTCATTGATACTCAAGTCACCTTTCTTTGTTGTTTGTAACATGTTTCTAAGATACAGAGTCCTAGCCTTAGAATAGGATTTAAAATGTAGCTCCAAAGTATTCCATATTTCATAAGAGCTAGTACACTTAGCAACGTGTCTAAACATGGATTCAGAAATTGATGATAAAAGCCAGCTTACTAAGAACTGATCTGTCTTTTTCCAATTGAAGAATTTAGGGTTTGGTTCTTTTAATAATTCCTCAGATTCAGTAGATTTTCTAACTTGAAACATAGGTGGACAGATTTTCTCACCTGTAATGAAACCGTCAAGCTCATGAGATGCTAGAGCTGGAAAAATTTGAGATTTCCAGTGACTGTAATTTCTTTCCACAAGCTTTACTGAAATTACGGGAAGGGTTGCATGCATTGCTAAATTGTTTGCGTTGGCACATCCAGCTTGCTCCATTTCTGACTTTGAAGAAATATTAGAAGATGCAAGATTCAATTAAGCCATTGACGTTTGTCTTAAAGCTCTGATACCATGAAGATTCTAGGACGGACTTGAATGAAAAATATAAAATAGAAAAGTATTTGAGAGAAACGAAATAGTAATTAACCCCATAGGAGTACTGCTAATGCATGCACAGCCCACTTGATCTTTGGTTGAATGACATTTTTCCACTCTAGGTTTAGCAAAAATACAAGTTGATACCCTTAGTTTCAAAAACCATCAACGTTTCACCTGATTTTTCATTTCAAACGTTAAGAATAACGATCAAATGGCATGTATGTCTTTTTCCATCGATCATATCTTCTTCAACAGAGTATGTTAAAAAGAAAAAAAATAGTAAGTTGCAACCATGGTCGTCGTGACTGCTGCAAGGCCTAACCATGGTGGTCATCGTCAATGATAAGATCAAAGAAGAAGTTCTTGGTGGCAATGGAGATGGGTTCAACATTGTTAGAGTAAGCAAGCTTTAGCTTAGCCTGCTAATTAGTAAGCTTGACGACATGGCACTGTATGAGTCAAAGTCAGTTATTAATGTCATGTTGATAGGTTGTCATGCAACAACTTCTTATTGTATATAAAGAAATGTATTCACACGTTTTTCATTAATAAAAAATTATAGAGTTACAGAGAAGAACTTTCTCTCTATTTTCTATTGATGCAAGAAAACACAAACTAGAGTGATCTGATTGACCTGAGTGATCTGATTGACCTTGACAGGATCAGAACTGATGTGTGCGTGATTACGGGTAACCAGCAATGAATGAAAAATAAATGCAGTAAAGTAAATGACAATGAGATTTTTAAAGTGGTTCGACGAGTTGAACTCTTGAGCATACGTCCACTTTTTTTGTATTTGCTATGAGAGCTTACAATGATAATCCTAGAATAATTTGCTAACCTCTTCCTCATCGTTGGAGGGGGTTTATATACAGATTTTGTATAAAGGAAAGAGCAAAAATAAAGGGATTACAATTAAGTTTGAAATGCAACTCCGATATTTTCGCGATTGAGCGTTGTGATTGCGCAAAAATTGATGTCGATCTAATCATTTCTGAGATATTCGGGATCTGAAGTTATCTGTGAATTAGTTGAACAACTATAAGGATTGGTCGCGACTAGCTTGTGCTAGGTCAAACTATAACTCGACGAGCTTATGCTGGGTCGGACAATTGGTAGAGTCGGGTTGGTCTTGGGTCAAGCTACAACCTCATAATTCTCCGAGCTTGAGAGAAAAATCCCACACAACATTTTCTATCACTTTTTCGGCTAAATTCTCACTTTTAGTCTTGTTGTCAGAGCTATGGACAAATTGATACATCATCAAACTAACTCCAATCAGTTCTTCTCAATAGCCAACATCACCAAAAACTTCATAACAACTCTGTAAAGTTTTGTGACTCCAATCAAATTGGAAATATTGAATTTTAGGGTTTGGAAAACTCAAGTTCTTCCACCTTTAAGAGCTAATGATTTGCTCGACTTTATCGATGGCTCTTGACCTAAACTAAAAGCAATTATTACGCAATTGAATTGTTGAAAATCTAGATTTTCTTTTACAGAACAAATTGGATCAAACTTTGTTAGGATGGTAAGTAATATGTCAAAATATGATACATCGTATGAAGTTTAGAGTGCTCTTGAGAAATTGCAAGCTTCCCAGTCAAAATAATGAACTTTCGATTACAACTACAGAGTACTTAGAAATGACAGATGAGTTATTTTCATAAAACTACAAGTGTACCAGATGATCTAAATATTGTTGGATATCTTGTTTCCAATCATGATCTCATTATGCACATATTAAATGGAGTAGGAGTAGAATATGATTCAGTTGTCCCAGTTGTTACATCAAAGAGGGATGATTTTGATTTGCAAGATGTGTTTTCACTTTTGCTTGCACATGATAGCAAAACTGAAAGGTTGAATAGCACAATGAGTTTTGATTTGAATCAGAATTTAGCGGCAAACTATGTGCAATCTAGAAATAGTGGTAATGCTGGGAACAATGGAAGTCAAAACAATAATAATTCTCACAATAAGTTTCAGAATAATGGAAACAATAGAGGTGGTAATTGCAGAGGTAGCCGTGGTAGAGGTGGAAGAAATTCTGGAGGAGGAAGAATGTTGCTAAGCCGACTTTCCAAGTATGTAACAAATATGGCCATTCAGCTGTTGTTGTTATTATAGATACCAGAGAGACTTTATTCCCAACCAGAATCAGAATTAACAAAACAATGACTATAGACATTCTCTGCCTAACAGCAAAGCCCGATCACTTTTGCTACGTGGAATACACAGTACTAAAGCAAACCCCATATATAAACAAGGCGTGAAGTTTCATTTATTCCGGATCCTCCCAAGTGCCAAGTGCTGCTTATATAGTTTGTCTGCTTAAATTTCAGCTTTGTTACACACAAAATGCACAAGAAAATGAGGGTGGAAGTGTTATATATGAAAATGAAAAATAACATGGAAAGTTGCTGCAGAAACAGAGGATAAACACAGCAACAATAGAATTGGATGTTGCAGAATTTGAATTCACTTTGTTGGTTGAAACTTTTCTCTCTAAATTTGTCTCACTTTCTCACTGCTTTTACAAGACAAGAGGCAAACTTATATGCTTCTTCTAACAATTAATGATAACAAAATGGTGACTTAACTTGCAAGATGTACACTACTTAAACTTGCGCATCGCGCATAACAAAGTTTATTCAATGTTTCTTGAAAGTATAAGCATATAACTAGGATTACATTATTCAAAACATAAAATTTAAGCAAGAGAATTTCAGCTTCTTAATTTTCAAGTGCTAAGTTGGAAGATTCATTCCTCTTTAGCTGAGCTTAGCTGCAACCACCGGGACCAAACCCAACCCTCTGTCCAACAATATCATGGTGCACCTCTTTTCCCCTTAGTTGACTATTACCCAAAATAAAAGTAGGGTCATCAGCGTCTGCTGTCTGAAAAGCTAAACACACTTGGCTTAAATCCTTTTTATATACCACCATAATTCCCTTCACATCCAGCTCCAATTCAACCCCACCTTTGAAGAAGAAAGAAATCTTTGGTATTACAACTTTATCATAACTGCGAAAATCATAACAAGTATCAAGTTCATCGCTCACTGGTTTTATCATCTTATATTTTGACATTTGCTTACGGAAAGCTGATCTCAGGGCCACATACAGGGATGGTGGCAGAGCCGTGAAGGTTGTTCCAGAATCAGTAATCGATTCTGATTTAGTATACTCTGAACTGGCTACTGGTAGCTTTTTCCCAGCGATGGTCATTCCAGTTACCATAATATCGTAAAACAATGACTGTTTGGGAGAAGTGGTTATTGGAGTGAATTTGACGAATTTGTTTTTGATATCGTCATCAGATTTGCCAAAGGTTATGTATCCAGTGGAACCATAAGATGACGGATAGCAGTAAGAAAAGTATTTTTGGGAAGTTTGTGATATAAAGGATGATGGAGTTCGAGCGAGACCCATTAACCCAGTTACTCCATCAATATCGGCGGAATTGTTAGTGCCACATCCGAAAATGTAAGGGTATTTGACAAATGTACCAAAGCCATTCATTATGGTTAACTTTTCAGTTGCTACGTGGCCATTGGAACTACCGCTACCGTATGAGATACCGTAGAAGCACGTCTTGGAACTGCAAGTTGGTTTGAAATCTGCATGTACAGTAATCAACAAATTTCTTGTTACAAGAATACCGTTTATGTTCCGAAAGGAATTGGTGCACGCGATCATCTATCTTTAAATTTATGACGGAGATGCATTTCAAATAAAAAAAAAATTATTAATAGGTATTTGTACCTGGTAAACAGGCGTTCGACCGGCATGGAACGGAAGAATAAGTCGAGGATTTGGTTGGATCAAATAACGGGGTTTTTTGTTTAAAACATTTAAGGCATGGCTTGCACTGCGTCCAAGTGATGTCGCTACCAGTGTCCAAAAGGAGAGTAACAACTTGTCTTGGCGTTCCCAGAGATACAGTAATATAGAACTCCCCATTTGATAGAAAAGGTTCGGCACCCACTGTTAAGGCCTCTATTCGCTTTAAATGGTCATCATCATCACTACCAGAATGTTTGGGCTTGAAGATTCTGGATTGAATGTATTTGGCTCGGGCTCGGTCTTTGTGCAGAATTTCCGTGTAATTTGGAGATTTTACTTTGCCCTCATTTATGGTAGAGCATGGACCATATTTGCTTACAAGCTCTAGAGATGCTTTGTTTGGAACTGAAACAGCAAGACATAATATTCTGCAGACTCTCAATAATAATTACAACAAAATAATAGCCTTTTTTAATTAATTATGAAAATTCAAAACTGTGTATTAATTAATGTATATAACCTTTGGTGGAAGTCCAGTTGCAAACAGTTGGGGGCAATAGAGAACTGACTTCAACAATGTGACAATCAGAGCATTGGGCTTCAGCTTGTTTAGCATAACTGTTCTTTACAGAACAGAGAAGACATAAAAAAAGAAAGAAAGCTTGGAGTAGAAACCTGAGAAACATGGAGATATAAGTGGACATGGGAAGAAGCTTAACCTCTAGTCGCTTACTAGCAAGAACGTGCAAACTCTGTTTTCTTGGGTTGCTTTATGTAAGCAGTTGGCCGAAGCATTGGAGGAGACCGTAAAATCTAATCGCATTAAGTGCAAGCTAGTCTCCTTTTACTTGATTTTCCAATGTGCGAACAGTCTGTTTTCTCCATTAGCTCCATAGACGACAAGATACATCCAGTCATTTCAAAATAATGATTTATCCTTAACTTTTCAAACTCTATTCTGTCTTAGTATCTTATCTTAAACAGTAAAAAACCGTGTTGGTTTTAATATTACTATTTAATTCAAAATCCAATAATATTATATTCAACTCAAAACATTTAACAATTACCTTTCACAATAAAAGTTTATAAATTAACAAAACACCCTCATTCACCCAAGCCACAGTTGCCTGCCAACAACCACCATCAACCGCTAGTCACCGCCGACGCCGGAACGATGTACGATCAGCCGAATTTAGCCGATCATGCACCGATTTGGCTGTTTTCGACCAGATCCATCATGAATCTGACTGAAAACTGCTACATCTACGACCATAGATCAGGTTATTAACGGCTACATTTTATTTTTGCTTCATTTTCAGGATTGAAACCTTAGAATATGGCATTCAAGTCTTTAGTGGATATAAAGTGTTTGCAGCACACAAAGAGTGACAACCATGATCAAAACCTAGAAAAAAAAATCAGTGACGTGAGGCATCGAGCTATTAATTGGTCCCAGCAAAGAAGATATATAAGATTACGAATTTATGAGTGTGTTGTGTTTTGTTCTTCAAATATTATTATTATGTTACATTTTTAAATACTTATTTAAAATACAAATTAGTACCAAGGAAAATTTGTATTTTGAGCAATTACTTAGGCTTAAAATAAAAAATTAATATGAAAAATTGATTAAAAATACTAAAATTTAAAACTTATGAATTTTATTATCCAATCAAATCCATCCTTAGATTGGATTGCATGGGATGCTATCCACTTTTGTTTTGAACAATAAAGAGAAAGCCTCGTGTGTTGCATTTCCTCTTTTGTTTTGAATAATAAAGAGAAAGCCTCTTGTGTTGCATTTCCACTTTTGTTTTGAACAATAAAGAGAGAGCCTTGTGTATTGCATTTCCACTTTTGTTTTCAGAGATAAATTATAACTCAAACTAGTTGATCCGATTTTTCTCAAGCTGACAAGCGCTGAAAAAACAAAAATAGTGAAGTTCATTATGGAATGGCCGGCCATGTCAAAGTAATTCCCAATCACTTCATAATTCATATCAGTGTGGAACCAGTCTATAATTAGTTCAAATCTTGATCAAATAAAAGAGTACTGGAAAAATCGAAAATTATTTTAGTTTCTGGTGGAGGGCCCTGAGTTAACTGAGTCCAGTATTTCTGTATTTTGTTCTTCAAAGCTTAATCTTTATTGGGTTGAAAAGTTTTGAACCACATGAGAGAGATATTTGTAACATACGCTATGAAGTGACATCTCAACTTCTGCAAGGAAGCGCCTTTCAAGCATTCCGAGTGATATGTGCAACATATGGTGAAGCAATTCCCCATTAAAACATTGATCATATCTCAAGCTTAATTAATTCCAGCTAAAAAAAACAGAGTATTGTCATTATCAACAATTAAGCGGAACGCTACCCTGTAGAATCAAAATTGATCTATATTTCTTCCTCGTCCACATTTCATATCTCAAGCTTAATTCTAGCTAAAAAAAAAACAGAGTATTGTCATTATCAACAATAAGTGATATGTCTTGTCGAGTTTTTAGGCTTTTATATTGGCCATTCTTTTCTGAATGGATCTATATTTCTTTCTCGTCCACATTTCTGTGAATCAAGAAAAATTGAGAATCTATATTTCTCATTAGCAACATCTTCTATTAACCTTTCCTGAATATTCCCCAACAAAATAGGTACATTTTCATCGCTAGTCCCACTAAAACCTAAACACACCTTGCATTATTTGAGCAAACATTATTTGAGCACAATCAGAAGTTTCATTTCATGGTGGGAGGGGCCAGATAATATCCACTGTATTTGGTTCATACACATTATCAACCAGCTAGAGTGACCGAAATGGGTCCCAACAAAAAGAAGGAAAAGAGTGGAGAATTAAAAGTGATGATCAAAAGCAACGTGTGGGAATGGATTCCCCAATTTTTCAGAATAATGAAACCACTTCTCACCCCAACATATTTAGTGGTAGAATGAGTCATAATTGAAAACCTAAGAATGTGGCCTTTCCACTACTTCTTTGAGTTTAGACCCCAAAGAGACATGAAAATGAGCAACACATGGTAAGAGAAACTCCATAAGCACAAGCGCTGGAGATCATTTGTGGATTTTATATTTGCTTGTGTAGAATGCATGCTGTAAATTGTAGAACACGGTCTTTCTGCTTCGGCAACATATGCCTCATTGTTAGAGAAACTTCTTAGTTCAAGGCTCAAAGGCGCTAAGGTCAATTAGCGCATATATATATATAAATTAGTGTTTTTATTCAAGTCCCACCTAATTTCTTTTTAAATTTTATTTATCATCTTTTATAATATGAAATATAAATTTATTTTAAAATTATTAAAATTGACACCTCCTTAACCAAAAAAAAAAAAAAAAAAATTTGAAGTAAACATGCATGATTCGTCTTTCCTCGAGTTATCAGACATTTTCAAACATTTAGTGCATTATTCACTCATTAATACCAAAGACCTTTCTGTTAGGAAATGATCAAGCTTATGGCAGCGGAAAACAAATATTGTATAGCACATATCGTTCCCATTGAACCAAAATCAGGACACAAATTATACAGTTTAACAATAAATCAAAATCTACAGTAGTATGAACAATCAGATTAGAGTTAAGAGTTCATACGCACGTTTAGAGGCTCCTTCAAACCTGTCTCTAATTTGGGTTCACTACCGATCCAAGATTAGGATCGAACCAGTGATAGTCCACACGAAGATAACCCAAAGAGCTAAAGAGGGATTTGCTAGATCCTCTTTAGCTTCAAGAATCAAACTCAAGAATCAAGAGATTTTGATTCAAAGAAATGATGGCTGGCGTGAAGGAGAGAGGGTTGAGTGTTTTAATTTTCTTTCAAGTCAAATAATGAATGAATGAATCTATCAATTAAAACACAAAAACATGGCACTTATGTAGTGAACACAAAACCCTATTCCATCATGGAATAGGCTTGGGCTTCAACTCAAATAGCCGCTATATCCAAACACTCCCAATCATGATATTTTAATTATAATGATTATTATTATCAATTAATGTATTTAAAGAAATACATTAACATTTAATTAATAATAATAATAATCCATTTAGATATATGTGTACATATATTTAAATATAATCTCACTTCTTTAATTTTAATATCAAATTAAATAAAGGCGACAACCTCAACAAATTTAATTGCACTGAGAGATTACCAAAATACCCTTTCACCCAAAAAGATGAAAACGCCCCTTACACAAATTGATTCTTAAATTATCTTTTATGTGTGAGACTCGTAGGCTCCTCATCATACCGGTAGTGTGTAGTATCGCAATTAACACCAATTAATCGTCTCACTACATATAGACCAAGATTGACCCCTACTAAGGCATCATGGCCACTCGATAGATTCGGATTCAGCGAAGCAGCTACCTGTCAACAATATGGTTACCATACAATCAAATCCTTTCATCATCTGTTATCTCATCGAGACTGTGGCACATAAATAGTGTCAACCCCAGTTACTCTCGATATATTTGTATTCAGTTACTAGACCAATGACCAGAATAATGAATTGGATTGAGCTACAACTCAATCCGACTGTGATCATAGATTTACTGTCATTGTCATTAACTGAAGTGCGCCGTGAGATAACCTCTCCCGTACCCGGGAGTGATGAATCCTCTGTCAATCCACCATAGTCTTGATACACTCCTCGATGCAGCCAATCACTACCATATTGACAGCTCTGAATAGAACTGCGTTGGGCTAGTGTCAAACTACATGAATCGGTGCACGAGGTGCTCCGGTGATCTCAAGTCTAAGGATCACATGCACCACCATTCATTAGAGGATTTGTTCCATAGACACTAGGGTTACCATCTATATGGAATGCTCGGGTGAGTCAGTCCAGTGAACTTGCCTACAGCAAGCACCCATGTGTTGCACCAGGTTGTTAGC